GATTTATAAAATCATATACTTGTATGGTTGTGGTTTATGAATCTGCCTTGATTCTTTACCATAGACTTTATAATTTTTCGAAGAAGCTGGATTTGTTGGATTGTACTTCAGGGGCGAAGGAAGTTCAGTCTACATTTTACTTTAGATCATTTCTTTGTGGATTACATTGCATTATCTACATAAATCCACACGTGATGAATTTTAAAATACAAATACGAGGCTATTGAATTGCAAAATAACGATTGAATTCATAGGAAACAATGTATTTAGGTCTTTTACAGTTCATGAATTTTATATTTAATGCAGTCAGGATTAAAACTAATGACGTTTATTTGTTACTTTTGTGTAAAAAATGTAGTCAACGTTGGTATGTATTACAGATATAGTTTTATAATAATAATGACCCCAGGTACTTTAAAATTTTCGGTATAAAATTTTCGATTTTAAATGGAAATTAGAAGATATTTCTCTAGCGTGTCAGCAGTGAATATTATTTTACGTTGTGGTTTTATTGAAAAATATATTTTCTGGTAGTGTGATTTCAAACGTCACGTTTTGCAACTTTTGTGAGATAAATATTTCGTTTGGCAGTGAAATGTGTAATCAAAGTTATATTAATTAAAGCTGCCACGTTTCTGTGGGTCCCGATATTGTTTGAATGACCGAACTGATTTTGTCGTTGAACCCAGACATGTGTTCCGTAGCGCATATTAATGATCATGATTCAAAATAAATACACCCGCTTCATCTAAATGGATTCTAAATTTATTTTGCGCGGAAAACTCGAGTTCTCCCCACGGATTATGGAGAGATTTTCATTTTTACATAAATATTAAGTCTTAGCTTTTCATTAAGCGTGTTTTCTAAGAGGACAGATGAAAAAACCATATTTACTGAATTGGCTGAAGATCGATAGGTAAAGGGAGAGCGGTAATCTTATTACCCGAGAATTTCGATCATCTTCGCAAATTTAACTCCCCATTCTAAAAATCTGTAAAGAATTCAGCACGTCTCGTCTGCTCAGTTTTTTCGTTTCCAACCGCATCCCATTAAATAATCATAAAGCATAAGGAAGATAAAAACTTTTCATGGTATGAATTACTCGCGTTTCCACAAGAAAAATGTTTTCGCACCGACTCAACTGCTGGGAAATTCATGTGAGGTGGTTAACGAAGCTGCATGAGACAGGTTTCCGGTGCACATTTGCCATGAAGGGACTTCTAATTTTGTTTGGATTAGTGTCCAGTAAAATGGAGCAAGTCTGCTAAAACAGAACATCCGGAAATCCTGAAAGCCTATCTTTATAAAGCCTACAAGATCATAGTAGGATTTTGTGTCAACAAATAAGCGCAGCTAACACTTTCTTAGATCTTCGAAATAAAAGAAAATTCAATTTTTTGTTATAGACATGTCTAAGCTCGTCATTCAGAGGGAAGGTGTATCTGATGTTGACATTTAGAACAATATGGATTTACTTTTTCGAACGAAGGCGTAATTTTTATACATTTGATGAACTCTTCTTGAAATGGAATAGACGTTAACATAGGGTTGTATTTTTCTGGACAACTTTATGTATAAATTTGTAAATAATATTTCCTCGTTGCTACTGCCGGAAGGTTAGTAAATAATCCGTCGCAGCATAACAACTGTACGAAATTTTTATGTACACATCTAAACTGCTTTTATTCATATCTACATATTATGTTTTGAATATTTGCTAATTTCGAGCTAATGGTTTTTCTGACATTTTGTCTTTGGAAATGTAAAAATCAGAGGATAAATTGTATTCCATTAATCCTCCACCCACGCAACCTTATGTTTCACTCCGTTGATATCAGAAATTCGCTTGAAAATATTTTGAGCTTTTAGAAAAAAGTTAATTACTCATTTCTTAATTAGGAAGTTGTAAGAAGAAGGAAAAATAATTGGGTATCATCAATTCACGAAACTTTATTATAAAATTAAAAATATTTTAATTGAAATCTAATGCAATTAATGGTCTAAATGTGACATCTTAATATTATTCAGCAAACGAAACAAATAATTTTGTAATATTTTGCAAACATTATTCAGTCTGAAAGGGAATAACATTTCAGTAGCGAACAGATAGATGCTCTAAAAGGGTCATAAAATTGAGAAATTCATTTCATGAGTTTTTGATATGTGCTTTAAAACTTATTAAAGGCTGACATTCTCTCTTGAAATATGGAATTACATCTTTGCAAAAAAACAAGGAACATTGTAACGCAATATTAATATGTTCAAACGAAGAACTTCGATGTTGAAGCTTGCAGATTAAAAGCATTTTCTTTCAGCAACGATGTAGTTCAGTCTACAGTAAAATTGAGATTACAGCTCAACGTAACGATGTAGTTATTTGAGTGACAGGTCTTGGTTGTTGGTGGTTTTATAATGGTTACTGTAATTTTAAACAAGTACTAAAGCTGGTGCTGAGGCTTACATCAAGTAATAGATTAACTTTGGTGTTGACACTAAACGTGACGGGCCGCTTTTACGCTCTCTAGAATGTGGAGGTTAATTGATAGATGCTGAAAAATAAAACTAATAATTAAAAATAGACGTATTTTTTTAACAATTAACATTGACAGACATTTATTTTCTAACGTCTATCGATGTGTATCTCTCTAAAAATTGTTGCTCCACGTCACTATGACTTCGTAAGAGTCAAATTAAGAATTCGGGCATGTTTTCCAAGATTGTTTGCGGTGCCAAATTTAATGAATCGCCTGACTTCAAGATTTAAATATAAAGTATTTCTTCTTGTAACATATTTGGCTCGCGTTTCAAAATTCACTTTCAAACTCATGAATCGAGGACCATTTTCTTTTGGAAATTAATAAGATTTGAACCGCAAAATTAGCGAACACTGGCCAAGTGCATTTGGCAGCAAGCATTCGAATCGTTCTATTTTTCATGAGTACAGAGTAAAAACACAACAGAAATAATAATAATAATTGTTATTGTTTTAAATTTGTGTTAATTTTGGAAATTTCACTTTTAGTAATCATGTCTGCATTGCCGGGCTTTCTTAAAAAAGTTCTTGTTTTTTTTTTAAACTTACGCTTAGTTTTACTCTGGTGTGTACGTACGCACAAAATACTATCGACACGCAGAAAAAACTATTTATGAATTTGTTTACAAAACAGTAAATTCTACGCCTACAGCTAAAGTTACAAGGTTAATATGTTGCGTCAAAATAGAAAATAAAACAAATTTAACTCGTACATAACACGTTCAAACGTATAATACCACAATTTTTTCAGTACTTGTTACTATAGTAGCTGACAAAATTAATTGCACAGTCTGGCTCTACACTATTAGGCAATTGGAAAAACACGACTAGAAATTTCGTGTAGTGCGTATACCAGTGAGATTTTGATTAATTGTACTTGGTAAAATGACAAAAAAAACCTTCAATGATAGAACTGTCCTCTACATTGTACAGTTGCAACACATGAGTTTTTGAACAAATCGTTAAAAGTTACATTGTAATAGAAATAGAATATTCTATAATAGGGCTTTAAAATTGAAAAGCAAACCATGAATACAACAACTATAATAGGTGCTCGACATTGCCATACAAACTTCGACGAACCATCAGTTCGAGTGCACAAAGATTTCTTAGAGGGGTGTACCCTTAGTTGGACATAGTTGGAATGAGTAGGCGAATGGATTTACAACTACTAACTGCCTGTTGATTCAACCTTTCTTGTTATTTTTAGTTTGTTACAAATAAAAAAAATATAATAAAACTTGGCGACATTGTGCAAATCTTATTTTATTGATGGCAAGTGTGTAACTTGCTGTCCGAGATTTGTTTGTTTTTATTAAAGTAAAAATTTGATATTGAATTAAAATTCGTGTTGTCTGTATTATACAAATCACACACAAATATTCCTAACGGCAACTACGAGTATATTTCATGAAGATTAAAGTCACGACATAATTACCCAAGTTTATTATAACTGAAATTACATTTTGTTTTTGTTTGAACGAGTGGAAAGCACCCGTTAAGCTTACTCAAAAAGTACGGTGATAGTTAATTAAGCTGATGAATTTCTAAAATAATAGTTACTCTGTTTCTATTCATCGTAGCAAAGCAATGTTTTTAGAGCCATTATATATGACAGAACCATTTATACACGTCGTTCTTATTATATCACAATAATGAGTCTCTATTAATAGACGCCATACTCATGTACATATAAATCAATATTTAAACACATGAAATGAAAGATTCATTTCCTTGTTTAAATATTTAATAGCTTCTATGACAAGAAAAGCTCTCGCAAGTTTTAGGCAGGATAATATTTTACGAACTTGACGAGTTCTCCTACATTTTTTAGACATCAGGCTCTTCGTGGAGGTTTTAAACTGTGACATTAAATAAAACCCCTGATTAAAAAAAGTTATAAACCATAAAAAGATATATTAAAAGTCGTCTCTTATTGCGTAAGGAATCAGAATAAATTTACATTTTCCGAGAGAGGACCGCTGGAATCATAAATACAAACACGATTATTGAGACCTGTTTTTTAAATATAGAGGTTGAACCGAGATAAAACTTTTTCCATCATCTTTTGGAATTTGAGATCGCCTAACGTCATTGCATTATGAAGCACAGGCACGATATGGAGGAGTTTCTGTTGTGTGATACGTCTCTTTTTATAAATGTCGCAACGAAAATAATGACGTAGAAGCGTATGTTGTAATCTTGTTCCGAAGTTACGTTCTTCGCGTAAATAATCACTTTGGGGAATTACAAACCATTTCCATTACTGTGTATTGAAAATTTTGCTAGTTTCAAGTTCGAAAAGAAATATTTAATAATCTACATCTCTTTCGCTTCAAAATTGTCTACCCTTCCTTGTAAAAGTAAAAAAATATGAAAGGTGTTAATTAAGTAATAAGTAATGGTCACAGCATGACTCCTAAAAAGGGGAACTATTGTGAATTAAAAGATAGATCTGGTACAAATATAAATTCAAGAAAAATTTATTTAACAAAATTTTGAGATGAGTCCAGTATAAGAAGACAAAAAATTAAACGTCGAAATAACCTTGGTACATTGTTTTCTGAGATTATTCTCGGGTTAAAAGGGAATATTCCATTGCGAACAGGTTTTTGGTTAAGATTAATTGCCACATTGACCTGGAAAAACAATACGTTTAAATATTATTTTGGTTGTTTATGTTGAAACAACTGGTACAGATATATTTTCGTTTCAGAGTGGTTTGTGTGTTATATATTATCTTTCGTTCTAAATGATTCAGTTTTAAATATTATGTTATAATGACACCCAATATTATTGAGTAAATTAGTTACTAACACTCATTTGAGTTTAGTTACTAAGGTCGAGGAGCGGTAAAATATTTGTTTTCGTAGTTTTAGCAGAGATCGATATGTTCACAACTGCACTTCCTTTGGGTGAGGGTAAATTTTGGCATCAAATTGTCATCTGTGCTGACACAAGATTAGAAAGATTTCTAAAAAAAATAATTAACGAAAAATATTTGGAAGTTTTCATTACCAAAATATTGATTAATTATTTGTTATAGTAAAGGCAGATTTAAAATGTTTGTTGTTTGTTAAACAACTTTGAGACCTGTAGAACTGTTGAAACCGTGCTTTTCTAGTTGTAAACATTTGTTATTTATGGAAGTATTAAGTTTAATTTTGTAGAGTGAATAGAACTAAACAATTTATGAGGATTTAAGTGTAAAATACCTTCTATTCTAGTTTGATGGCGCTAAACAGAGCATTTAATGTCAAGTTAAATCGCTCTGGTATTTAACAAATATATAATTCTATTCTAGTGATTACAAAACATTGGATAGTAGAAGTTTAAACACAATTTTTGCATTAATGTAGTGTTCTGTTTACTTCTAAAGAGTTTTCAATTCGGATATTCATTTTCGTTTTGTTTCGGTAGTTTTTGACGTAACTAGGCACATAAAAGGAGACCATGAGGAGACCCAAAATTGAAAATTTAATGCAATGTATTTATAACAATGCACAAAATATTGTTTATAACTTACAAACTAAAAACACATTTTCTGTATCGTTTGTTGCAAAAAGTAGAACAGGGTCCAATGGACAACAATAATGAATAAAATTTGTCAAATATATATTTCAAATATATATTTATTCAAAAATATTCAAAGTATTTTCGTCTATTTCATTGTCGACTGTCATTATGACATTTGAAGCAAAAATTTGTTTCAGTGTGTTTTAAACATTTCACAATACATTTATAGGCTATGAAAAGTTTCATTTTGTAGAGATTTTACAATTTGCTTTTATTTTATATACATTTCAAACTACATATTAAACAGAATATAAAAGGCTCCACGTTATTAGCGAGATTTTATGGAAAACGGAACTGTAAATCATAAAACATAGCGTTGCTTTTTTAACAAAAAAAAGCCACTTTATTCATCACATCTGGATAAATCATCGCTTTGATCGCTGGAATTTATTGTGTACCGCCACAAATTATTACTAATTTGTAGAGTGGTTTTACATAGTTTACTGTGGCTGAGGTGTAAACCCTAGTTACCCAATTATTCCGAATCAATATTTCCATTGTGTACGTCCCAAAAACGAACCTCGTTTCGCTAATCTTCTATGCTGACGGAAATAATTAATTGGGATTCATCGAAAAGCTCCAAATCCCTGGGCTCATTCTATTTGTACCGTAGGATTCTCGTTTCTCATTCTTTAATGCAACGATCGTTGGTAATATTTTAATTGTCACTAAAGCGTCACTGAATCCGTCTCTAAGCTTTGACGATAGATTGACACTAGTTCACTATTCGTTAGAAACTGATTAGTGTTTTAACTTCTGCACTTACGTGGGATCTCAATTCAGAAGTTGAGCTGTTGGTGGTTCTGTCGGTTAACTTCAATATTAACAATTCAGGAGCTGTGATCCTTCATCTATCTTTCGTCAGATGTTGGTGGGAATTCATCATTGATTAGAACAGAGTGCATTATGTGATTAATTAAATATTACCGTGTCTTCATTGTTAGGAATGTAGGGTAGAGTTTTATTTATTTTCGTTTTACGTCCATTAACGTCTGTATTATTCAAACGTCTACCGGCGTCAAATAATTGTATAGTAGTAAACTATTCAATCTGTATAGTCTCGAAAGTTAAACATGTTTATTTGTATACATATATCAAACTAAAAAAATTCTGCTTCATTGCATAATCAATAATCCAATCAGTTTGTTTAAACTGAATGCTCGTTAGATAAAAAACTGAAAATTTGTTGTAAACACAAACTTAAGGCTTTATTGTGTTGTGAAATGAAATGGTGCGCTGTGTTTTCAGATGCATTTGATGAAAAAAACCAATATAAATTTACAGACGGAAACAGATTCCATTTGTTCAAATTAGATCTCATAATGATTTCTGGTGGTGATGGTAACAAAAGCCACAATCAGAAATTATTGTTGGCAATTAAGTTAATTAGTTCGATAAGTTGCCAAATTTACCAGAAAGGAAACAAACCTTCTCATTTTTATCACAAAAGGTTAAGGAGTAATTACAAAGAAGCCGTATCTGAAACAAATTCGAATTCTAGCTTTGGTGTTGAGACCTTTTTGAATTCACAGGTTTGAGTTCCCCGTTTCTGTCTGTTTGCCCCCATGGTCTCTCGTCGGTTGACGATTTTGCTATTTTATTATGTACATAATCACTGAAACTATTCAACCGATTACTTTAAAAATTTGAGCACTCTTTAACATTACCGTGTGTATAAAATTTGTACCGAATATTTCAGTTTCGCTTGGAATACACTGAACATGTTCATGCTTAACTAGAGTGCAGTTTAAAATCGATTTAAAAAGGTGTAACTAAAATAAAAGTGACAACGAAGCGACATAGGGTCAACTGGGAGATAACAAATTTTTAAGAGCTTTAAAAGAGTTTTTGATTTCACATTTGGTGTAGGTACATTGACTCTAAAAAAAAATTAACATCCCCATTTCACAGTATGACAGCCGGAAGTAGGGTGGGTTGTGGTTTTAAAACTGTTCGATAAATGTCGTCTCATGCTGTTGAATGTATTTTGTGAATTAACATAATTAATTAGGGTAAATGTCAGAAACATTAGTTTGAATTGGATAAACGTGACAAGCTTTTATAATGTTTAAATTCGTGAGTATTAAATCTCACGGAGTGCCATTACGTTTTAAGTTTTAAACTTATCAAGTAATGAACCAAGTAATATTTTCGGTAACAATTTTTAGTCTTAGTAAGATCATAAAAATGTTATTCCACGTATTTACACAGTGAAATTGGGTTCCAAATCTGAAACTATGCACTTGTTAAAAGTTAGTAAGAAGTTTTCCTGTATACAGTGTGCATTATTATTCATGGCCACTTTACTAAAATATCATCTCTACAAACATGGCATTTTACTTATTTTTTTTTGGAGACGTGCATATCGCATCTGTACGTATTAATTCTGTTTTTCTCAAAAGAATCATGACCAGTTTTTTTCTTTTGTATTCAGAATCAGAATTAATTAGTTCTGTGTACTTAATTATGAACCATTAAAATAGAGAACCTCTGGTCCTCTTTACAATATCAAAGCCACATTTTTTTTAATAAGTATACTGACTATCATTCCCAGTCCAGCAGTGAAATACCTAGATAAAATGTTAACTGAAACAGAATTGTATATTACAGTTTGCTGTGCTTTTCAACTTCTTTGTATTATATAAACTGTATTTTTTTTTTAAGAGAAAAAGACTGCACAATCTAGTATTGCAGCCTATGTATATAGATATATTATTTTTAAACTTCGTGCTTTAAACAGTTTAATTAAAATGCATGCAATTCACACCACACAGATGGTATTGATTCAGATCTGCAATTTAGGGAAACTTTCTGTTGCGTTGTGGGCGTGCTCGAGTATTCAAAACCTCACGTTCATGATCAGCAGATCTCATGGGTCGGAAAAGGTTAACATTTATAATTTACAACACTTTGTGTAAAACGGTTTAGCTATTTTCAAAGGATAATTTGACCACAGGACGGCTTAACTGATATTTAAATTGTTTTCTGTTGTCTGTAATATTTATTGTTCACAGACTCCTACTTCACGCACAGTTTGCACCTTTTCGAAGTTTCTACATGTTGACAGTGTCATTTTTACACTAAATTATTCTGGAACGAAATGCAGCTCCAAAGGATTTTAACAATAAAAAATTCGAAATATTGCTCTCTGGCAAATGAAAGAAAATAAATAGGCAGCAAATACAATTTTGCCCTTATCTAATTAACAAGGAAAATAACCTTCCTGAACTCAGAAAAAACAGCAATTTTTCGTGGTTATTATGACTCGCCTGCTCCACCACTGACCAAACCCTACATAAATTGGAGTGCCTTCAAGTAGAACACCTTATTGCATTAACAACACCTGTGATTCATAATCGCAATCGCTACCCGTCACAAGGGTCTCAGAATACCCTTTTCATCTAACGCCAACACATTCTGGCTCATATTACTGAAACCATCTCGTTGAGATGATGCTCTCGGAACAAAGACTATAAATTGGTCGTGCTTGTGGTTGTTTTAAGGAAACATTTGGCTAGTTGTTGAGCTAATTTTATTTTCAAATATTTGCCTTAGGCAGCAGAGTGGCGTTAAATTTTCCGGACTAAAAAGAGAAGCTGGATGATTTGTAAAGCATTTTCAAGCCACTGTTTGCACGCAGGGGTATTTATGTGAAGAGAAAAACAGATATTACATTTTTTTGTTGACAAGACGAATACAATATACGAATGACAGAATGTTTTATAAAATATTAAACATGAGGAATTACGTTTTTGTCGTTTGATGGAATCATACAATGTACGGTGTACGTTGGGGATTTCAGTTAACGGTCACATTCGTTTTTGAATGAAAAGAGTTGCATTGTGCCGACGAAGCGTACTGCCACGGCAATGATTTTACTGGTGCTGTTTAGTTTTAGATAAAAAATTTGGTTATATGGGGAAGAAAATACTCTCTGATACACAGTGACGAACGAAACTTTGCATTGTGTTAAAAATTCATCGAACGATCCACCAAATTTTGGTAGCATTTTAAAATTTGGGGTGAATGACAAACCACAGATTTCCAAACCCTGGAGGCAGACATTGCCAAAATATCCTTATTTAGAACTCTTCACTCATCCAGCTTCAAAAGTAAAAATACCCTTAATTAATGAAACATGGATGAGCTAAGGTACGAGTTGCAGTAGGACCTGAAAGCTTTAAAAGTCAAACTAAGACTGTAATTAAAGTAAAAGGGTTGAAGTACACACATTGTGGAAATTTTCTTCTTTGGGATTGAGTATTCTTGATCGAAAGCTAACTGGAATCAACAAACTCCACTTTACCCTTTTTCCTATTTTCAGTATAATCGTCCGCAACCTCCCCCAGTGTTTATTATTCACTGAACCTAACATATCTTTTACGAACAAACAACTTCTTAATTTCGGAATACGTAAAAGTCTTCAGTAAGTTCAGTTAAATATTTTTATGTATTGTGTATTTATTTATTTCTACATCAATATTGCATAATTTTTTAAATGACACTGGTGTAATACACAACTCTTGATTCATAAATGCTGGTAGTGTATACATTTCAGATAGTCACGATAGTTGGGAGGAGCTATTACAGGAAATGGCCTGGGTGTCATTTATCCAGTCATGACATCTATTTGCCCTCAATTTAGCGGGTAATTTGTTAACAAATTTAATGTGAACGATATCTGTTAGCAAACACTGTGTTCTTGTTGAAAGTTCCGTCGATCTAGACCCAGCAAATTTTGTGACAGATAATTGATTATGATTACGTACAAAAATAATAAGAGAAGTGGGATAGCCATAAATCTACTGCTACATTTATATGCATAGTATCCGAACTTTCTGGTGGTAGAGTGTCATATCTTTTATATGTGGAACTGGAAAAATGAAAAATGTTTGCCATAGCATAATGCTGCCAGAATTTATTTAACTCTATAATTTCAGGATTACATTTTTTTATTATTGTGTGCTGTTCTTGATTAAAAATTATTTTAGAGAAAAGTTATTATTACAAAAATTAATACATATCCTTTATATGAAAAAAAAAACCTTCTTAGAGGCAATTATAAAATATAGGATTTTTCATTAAAAATAAGAAAACGATTTGCAATGGGAGCGCAGATCTTTAATATGGATGTTTTAAATTATTTTCCCCTATGTACTCGAATACAATTTCATTTCAGGGTAAGTTTTTGCATGTACATACATCAAAACATTTCAGTAGTGCAGTTTACCGTAGCTGATAAGAAATAAGCAATCACCTATTTTTAGAAAGTTGGGACACACTGTATAGTTGTATACACATGCTGATGTCTGCTATCCAATTCCGTTCATTGTATCCATTCTTGGCACATCTCAGAACGTTGTAGTGAATTTGTAGCGCTAAATCGACACAACTGTATCGACGACCGTTTGATTAAATTTTGATCGTAAAATGATTTCATGTTGGTAAACTTTCTAAGTGTATGCGAACGGTGCAGAAGATAAAATGTGATTATCTTTTAAAACTATCGCATCGCTGCTATAGTTTCAGCAAACTTGTTTTCTGATTTGGTTGTAATTGTACGGAAAGAAACACTGCAATGTTTACGTTTGTAGGAAATTCGACAATGAAACCAGTTTGGTATTCTTTTCATAGGGGTTCCGGTAATATAACC